ATTAAAACACTAAATTAAATGTGAAATGTTGACATAAAAAGGCTGAAATTGTATATTCTTGTAAAACGTACTCCAATAATCTTTGTTTTATTTACAGCTTTGAAATCCCTAATTGAAATTATGAAGTGATGAGAGAGAAATGAAACTAGCAAAAAAGTCTGCCCGCAAAATGCTGAGACTGACCAATTAGAATGAAATTTAAGCTATAATAAAAATGTCTTATCCGACTGGTAGTACACACAACCTCGGTGGACATGAGAGCAGCCCAGCCTCTGTTGTGCAGTGTGTGTATGCAGCTGGAAGCAGGCTGTGCTGATGAAAGGAGTGGAAAACTCAAGGGAACTCCGGCAGCAGGAGAGGAGTAATTGGGCTTTGCTGCATCTTTAAGCTCAGTTAGGTACAGTCACACCATCAGAGGCTCCATAAGAAACCAGACGATGAGAGTGAAATTTGTAATGCACAATAGGAGAAGGGTTGCAGCTCTGCAGACAGTTTTTTTAATAACAAATGTGAGATACCGCTTACGGAAAAGAAAAACTGTCAAAAGTGTGAGAAATAGTCATATTTGAAAACTAGGTTTACTATAATTCGGCTGACACTCTGTCAGCACCGAGGACCTAATTACCATCAGGGCCTTGCCATCCGTTTTTTTTTTTTGAGAGATGAAAAAACAGAGACGTATTTAATTAAAGCACCTGGGAAAGCAGGAAACGACTGTCCATCATCAGGGAAATGGAACAACAGTAATCAGTGAGGGGCTTGTGTAGTTAGTGTGCTTCAACTAATACAGAAGCTAATTTCAAGCTAGGTGTCGAACTTTGCAAAGCTAGTTTAATTTTAAATTGAAAGAGATGGAGTTTTATACAGTAAGTGCTGCATCACTATTACAATTAAGGTAAAGGATCAAAAGTTTGGGTAAGACTTTGTCTCTTTTCCTCACAAAGGCAGCATTTATTTGATGAAAATTACAGTAAAAACAGCAATATCGCAGAATAGTACTATAATTTTAAATAACTGTTTTCTATTTGAATATATTTTAAAATTTAATTTATTCCTGTGATTCAGATCTGATTTTTCAGCATCATTACTCCAGTCTTTAGTGTCACATGATCCTTCAGAAATCATTCTTATATGCTAATTTGCTACTCAAGAAACATTTATTATTATTATCAATGTTGAAAACAGTTGTGCTGCTTAATAATCTTGTGATTTTTTTTCATGGTTTGATGAATAGAAATAACAGCATTTATTTGAAACAGAAACCTTTTGTATCATTATACAAAATGTAATGTAATGTCTTTACTTATAAATGTCTTTACTATCTCTCATCAAAGATCAATATAATGCATCTTTCATGATTAAAAGTACTAATTTCTTTTACTTTTTAAAAGAAGGGTAGTGTAATAGAGCCCGACCGATATGGGTTTTTTGGGGGGCAAATGCCGATACCGATATTAGGGAGTAAAAAAGACAGATATCAATATATCGGCCAATATTCTTTATGTGTAGGCTATATTATAGTACAGTATAGTCAAAAGTTTTGACACGCTTCCCATTCGTGTGTCCAAACTTTTGACTGGTACTTTATATAGAATACAGTATATAGCCTATATAAACAGAATATATATATATATATATATTAGGGCTGCACGATAAATCGCATGCGATATTTAACGCGCATCTTGTCAGAAAGCCGGTTCTGTAATCAGCAGTAAATCTCCATCACCTGCGTGCTTTCACATTGAGCAGCATTAACTACACAGAGCCGTTGTTCACTGACGAGCAGCGCCAAAAATCGCGCGAATATGATTGTGGTTTTGCGCAGCTCGTCAGTAAACAACGGCTCTGTGTAGTTA